GCTTTTATGGGGGAGTTGACGCACTTGTATGAGAGTTGACGCTTTTATTGGCGAGCTGACGCTCTTATAGGGAAGTTGACGCTCTTATAGGGGAGTTGACACTCTTATAGGGGAGTTGACACTCTTATAGGGGAATTGACGCTCTTATATGAGAGTTGATGCTTTTATGGGGGAGTTGACGCACTTCTATGAGAGTTGACGCTCTTATAGGAGAGTTGACGCTCTTATAGGAGAGTAGACACTTTTATAGGGGAGTTGACACTTTTATAGGGGAGTTGACGCTCTCATAGGGTCGCATCAACCCCCCTATAAGAGCGTCAACTCTCCTATAAGAGCGTCAACTCTCCTATAAGAGCGTCAACTCTCCTATAAGAGCGTCAACTCTCATATAAGTGCGTCAACTCCCCCATTAAAGCGTCAACTCTCCTATAAGAGCGTCAACTCTCCTATAAGAGTGTCAACTGTCATATAAGAGCGTCAACTCCCCCATAAAAGCATCAACTCTCATATAAGAGCGTCAACTCGCCTATAAGAGCGTCAACTCCCCTATAAGAGCGTCCACTCCCCTATAAGAGCGTCAAGTCTCATATAAGTGCGTCAACTCCCCTTTAAAAGCGTCAACTCCCCAATAAGAGCGTCAACAACCTTACAAGAGCGTCAACTCCCCTATAAGAGCATCAACTCCCCTATAAAAGTGTCAACTCCCCTATAAGAGCGTCAACTCTCCTATAAGAGCGTCAACTCTCATATAAGTGCGTCAACTCCCCCATAAAAGCGTCAACTCTCCTATAAGAGCGTCAACTCTCCTGTAAGAGCGTCAACTCTCATATAAGAGGGTCAACTCCCCCATAAAAGCATCAACTCTCATATAAGAGCGTCAACTCGCCTATAAGAGCGTGAACTCCCCTACAAGAGCGTCAACTCCCCTATAAGAGCGTCAACTCTCATATAAGTGCGTCAATTCCCCTTTAAAAGCGTCAACTCCCCAATATGAGCGTCAACTCTCCTATAAGAGCGTCAATTCCCCTATAAGTGCGTCAACTCCCCCATAAAAGCGTCAACTCTCCTATAAGAGCGTCAACTCCCCTATACGTGCGTCAACTCCCCTATAAAAGTGTCAACTCCCCTATATAAGCGTCAACTTTCCTATAAGAGCGTCAACTCTCATATAAGTGCGTCAACTCTCCTATAAGAGCGTCAACTCCCCAATAAGAGCGTCAACTCTCCTATAAGTGCGTCAACTCCCCTATAAAAGCGTCAACTCTCCAATAAGGGCGTCAACTGCCTTACGAAAGCGTCAACTTTCTTATAAGAGCGTCAACTCTCCTATATGAGCGTCAACTCTCATATAAGTGCGTCAACTCCGCCATAAAAGCATCAACTCTCATATATGAGCGTCAACTCTCTTATAAGAGCGTCAACTCCCCTATAAGAGTGTCAACTCCCCTATAAGAGCATCAACTCTCATATAAGAGTGTCATCTCCACTATAAGAGCGTCAGCTCCCCAATAAATGCATCAACTCCCCTATAAGAGCGTCAACTCCCCTATAAGTGCGTCAACTCCCCCATAAGAGCGTCAGCTCTCCAATAAGAGCCTCAACTCTCATATAAGAGCGTCAACTCTCATATAAGTGCGTTAACTCCCCTATAAGAGCGTCAACTCTCGAATAGGAGCCTTAACTCTCATATAAGAGCGTCAATTCCCCTATAAGAGCGCCAACTTCCCTCTAAGATCGTCAACTCTCATATGAGAGCGTCAATTTCCCTATAAGAGCATCAACTCCCCTATAAAAACGTCAACTCTCATATAAGAGCTTCAACTCCTATAAAAGAGCGTCAACTCTCCCATAAGAGCGTCAATTCTCATATAAGAGCGTTAATTCCCCTATAAGAGCGTCAACTCCCCTATAAAAGCGTCAACTTCCCTATAAATGCTTCAACTCTCCTATAAGAGCGTCAACTCTCCTATAAGAGCGTCAACTCCCCCATAAAAGCGTCACCTCTCCTATAAGAGCGTCAACTCTCATATAATTGCGTCAACTCTCCCATAAAAGCGTCAACTCTCATATAAGAGCGTCAATTCCCCTATAAGAGCGTCAACTCCCCTATAAGAGCGTTGTCGCGAGTTTACGGAGCAGAGAAGGGAGTGTACATAGTGTATATTTGTAAAGGTAATCGCGAGCACGCATACTGAGGACAGGGACCGAGGCTCGGATGATGGTGTTGTGTGATGCAACGATATGCATTCACGTCTGTCTGCCTCCCATCATGTGTTCGTGCGTTGCATGCGTGGTGTTAGCGTGTGCAAGAATTTGATTTTTTGCGCGGTTTGGATTTCCTGAGTGTGTGTGAATATTATTTGGCCTGAGCAGATAACTGAAGTGACTCATCTGACTAAGAGCTTTCCGACGGTCCAAGAATCGTCGCAATCAGAGCAAGAACAAGAAAGTTGCGAACGTTGGAGTTCGTATGCTTTCTGTACTTTGGTTGCGGCGACTGTGGGATGTTGTGGGGTTGACTTTATATGGGGTACAGACTTTTGGGGTTGGGAAATTCGAACCCATCACTGTAGATTGCTGCCAAGTGGTTGGGAGAAGCCAAACCAGGTTGGCAAGTGTGGCCAAGTTGGGTGAGGTGGATTGTGGAGGTTGGGATAGTGACAAAGGTCAAAGTTGGGTTGCCTATGGGAAGAGAATTGTATGGCATGGGGTTTCCTTTGGTTGGGGACTCCCTTGGGACCTTCCCTCTCGTCCTCCTCTTTCCTCCCACCTGGTTTCTAGCTACTCTAAATCTCTTTGAGGACTTGTGAAGCATAATTCTGATTGAGTTAAGCTTGTGGCAGCTCACCCCCTAGTGCGCCGAAATTGATAACTCGAGATATACTCCATCATTTGATACGATTCAAATTGAGAATTGTAGCTACGGACTAGAGCTACAACATATCCGAAATTGGTGGAGTTCTAACGGTGCACTTTTCGTCGACGGCGTTTCTTGTGAAGTCGACATTTGTCCAGAATTCTAAGCCAACGACTTTGAGTTATTTCGGCACCTAATCTCCATAGACTCGGTCCTTAGTCTCTAATAGATGGCTGGGCGATGTTGGGCTGCCGCGTCAGCAGACAGTCGCATGGGTGAAGCGGGGAAGGGTGACAACTGGATGGAGCTTTTGCTTTGTGTGAAGAATGCGTGTTTCGTTTCCTTGCAGGTTGAATGCCCGAGCCAGCTGGAGTTACAGGCACGAGCTGGAGGTCAAGCAGTTGGACGACTAAGTGGCAGTGGCAAGAGGATGAGAAGGTTGACCTTTCGCCTCGGTGGGAGGCCATCACCTTCAAGGGGACTTAGCGGTGTAGTAATAGGGGGAAGGTGCAGGCACGGATATAGGGGGTACGGGCGTTCGACTCTGTATTGTTTGTATGTTCTGTATAACTCATGTGATTGCTTCAGATCTATGCAAGCGTGAGCGTCAGGCCATAACAAACTCGTAGGAATGGAGAGTGCGACGTAGGCAGATGTGAGTAAACTGAGAGGCTTATCACATACAAACAATCCGTGGAGCCAGTAGCATGCGTACGCGAGGAGGAACGGAATACGGCGTAGAGGAAGAATACGTAAACGCAGAGGCAGCGGCGACGGGGAAGAGGCGCGCGACGACGGCTCGCCTAAGCGGGGGACGGAGGAAACGAACTGGCCGGAGGGAGAGGAGAAGGAAGCCAGCGGAGCGGCTAGGAAGGAGGTGTGGTCGGAAGGAAGACCGACGCGTACTACGGGCGAAGAGCATCCGACCGGCTCTTATCAGAGGAGCTCGTCGTGGCATGAGGAGGCAAATGTGCAGCGGTGGAAGTACACGCTGCTGCCGAAGATTGAAGTCCCAGAGCGTTTCTCGGGAGACACACGACGGGGACCGGCGATCAAGAATTACGTGATGCAGTTGGACAACTTGCGGGCTAGATGGGAGAGAGATCGGCTAGACCCGGAGGAGTTTTTCAAGGGACTCGCCAATACCTTGACCGGAAAAGCGGAAACCTTCTACCGCCTGAGCCGAAGGGAACTGCTGGAATGGACAGCTCGGGCGGCCCCAGGGGAACGAGATCCTACGACGCGTTTCCTGAGGATGCTGGAAGATCAATTCCCGGCGCAGACACCGGAGAGGGTAGCGGAATTTCGAGAATTTCGCCGCCGAACGGGAGAATCGCTACTTGCCTATTACAGCAGGCTGGTGGAACTGGGGGAGGACATGAGCTGCCACGACACGAGCCGGCTGGTCAGCAAGTTCCTGAATGGGCTACACTATGAACTGAGTCGAGACGTGGCGGTTCGAGTCTTCGAGATGGGGGCACAAGCGACGCTGAAGGAGGTATACGAGGTGGTGAAGCGGGTGGTTCGGCCGACGGATGTGCGAAATAGAGACGACGACGGAGAAGGGAGGGGAGCGAAGGAGGCCTGCTTGGGCAGCGACGCCGGCGGACAGGGAGAAGCCACCACGCAGGGCAGGAGATGAACGGCGCTGCCACAATTGTGGTCAGTTAGGACATCTGCGAAGGGAGTGTCGTAACCCGCCGGCATGTTCCACCTGCGGGAGTGAAGAGCACCTGAGGAGAGACTGCCCTGACGCCCCGATATGCGAACGTTGCGGAAGAAAAGGGCATCTAGGGAAGGACTGCTACGCCACCAGGAGGGAAGGAAAGACGAGGAAGGATCCAGAGGAGGTGAAGGCGCAGATCGCACGACTACAGCGGCAATTGGAGGAAATAGAAGGGTCAGAGCAGAAGGGGACCGCCATGCTGGCAAGGTCTTAGGAAGAAGACGAGGAGGGGAGTGAGGCTAGCTGATGGCGCGCCCTGTGCTGGAGAGGGGAGAACTCGGTTTGCGCGCGCAACATCGGTACTTTCCGCAAGAATCCCCTGTGCGAGAGCGAGGACCGAGGAGGGACACTACAGAGGCAAGGACTACGGGACACTAAGCGTTGCTATGCTCTCCCGGGACGCCCCAGAGCATCGCGATGCTTTCCCCGGACGCTCCAGAGCGCCGCGATGCTCTCCCCGGACGCCCCAGAGCATCGCGATGCTCTCCCCGGACGCCCCAGAGCGTCGCGATGCACTCCCCCGACGCCCCAGAGCGTCGCGATGCTCTCCCCGGACGCCCCAGAGCGTCGCGATGCTCTCCCCCGACGCCCCAGAGCGTCGCGATGCTCTCCCCCGACGCCCCTGAGCGTCGCGATGCTCTCCCCGGACGCCCCAGAGCGTCGCGATGCTCTCCCCGGACGCCCCAGAGCGTCGCTTTGCTCTTCCCGGACGCCCCAGAGCGTCGCGATGCTCTCCCCGGACGCCCCAAAGCGTCGCGATGCTCTCCCCGGACGCCCCAGAGCGTCGCTATGCTCTCCCCGGACGCCCCAGAGCGTCGTGATGCTCTCCCCGGACGCCCCAGAGCATTGCGATGCTCTCCCCGGACGCCCCAGAGCGTCGCGATGCTCTACCCGGACGCCCCAGAGCGTCGCGATGCTCTCCCCAGCCGCCCCAGAGCGTCGCGATGCTCTCCCCGGACGCCCCAGAGCGTCGCGATGCTCTCCTCCGACGCCCCAGAGCTTCACGATGCTCTCCCCGGACGCCCCAAAGCATCGCGATGCTCTCCCCGGACGCCCCAGAGCGTCGCGATGCTCTCCCCGGACGCCCCCGAGCATCGCGATGCTCTCCCCGGACGCTCCAGAGCGTCAATATGCTCTCCCCGGACGCCCCAGAGCGTCGCGATGCTCTCCCCGGACGCCCCAGAGCGTCGCAATGCTGTGCCCGGACGCCCCAGAGCGTCGCGATGCTCTCCCCGGACGCCCCAGAGCGTCGCGATGCTCTCCCCAAACGCCCCAGAGCGTCGCGATGCTCTCTCCGGACGCCCCAGAGCGTCGCGATGCTCTCCCAGGACGCCCCAGAGCGTCGCGATGCTCTCCTCGGACGCCCCAGAGCGTCGCTATGCTCTCCCCGGACGCCCCAGAGCGTCGCGATGCTCTCTCTGGACGCCCCAGAGCATCGCGATGCTCTCCCCGGACGCCCAAGAGCGTCGCGATGCTCTCCCCGGACGCCCCAGAGCGTCGCGATGCTCTCCCCGGACGCCCCAGAGCGTCGCGATGCTCTCCCCGGACGCCCCAGAGCGTCGCGATGCTCTGCCCGGACGCCCCAGAGCGTCGCGATGCTCTCCCTGGACGCCCCAGAGCGTCGCGATGCTCTCCCCGGACGCCCCAGAGCGTCGCGATGCTCTCCCCGGACGCCCCAGAGCGTCGCGATGCTCTCCCCGGACGCCCCAGAGCGTCGCGATGCTCTCCCCGAACGCCCCAGAGCGTCGCGATGCTCTCTCCGGACGCCCCAGAGCGTCGCGATGCTCTCCCCGGACGCCCCAGAGCGTCGCGATGCTCTCCTCGGACGCCCCAGAGCGTCGCTATGCCCTCCCCGGACGCCCCAGAGCGTCGCGATGCTCTCCCTGGACGCCCCAGAGCATCGCGATGCTCTCCCCGGACGCCCAAGAGCGTCTCGATGCTCTCCCCGGACGCCCCAGAGCGTCGCGATGCTCTCCCCGGACGCCCCAGAGCGTCGCGATGCTCTCCCCGGACGCCCCAGAGTGTCGCGATGCTCTGCCCGGACGCCCCAGAGCGTCGCGATGCTCTCCCTGGACGCCCCAGAGCGTCGCGATGCTCTCCCCGGACGCCCCAGAGCGTCGCGATGCTCTCCCTGGACGCCCCAGAGCGTCGCGATGCTCTCCTCGGACGCCCCAGAGGGTCGCGATGCTCTCCCCGGACGCCCCTGAGCGTCGCGATGCTCTCCTCGGACGCCCCAGAGCGTCGCTATGCTCTCCCCGGACGCCCCAGAGCGTTGTGATGCTCTCCCCGGACGCCCCAGAGCATCGCGATGCTCTCCCCGGACGCCCCAGAGCGTGGCAGAGCTCTCCCCGGACGCCCTAGAGCGTCGCGATGCTCTCCCCGGACGCCCCAGAGCGTCGCGATGCTCTACCCGGGCGCCCCAGAGCGTCGCAGAGCTCTCCCCGGACGCCCCAGAGCGTCGCGATGCTCTCCCCGGACGCCCCAGAGCGTCGCGATGCTCTCCCCGGACGCCCCAAAGCATCGCGATACTCTCCCCGGACACCCCAGAGCGTCGCTATGCTCTCCCCGGACGCCCCGGAGCGTCGCGATGCTCTCCCCGGACGCCCCAGAGCATTGCGATGCTCTCCCCGGACGCCCCAGAGCGTCGCGATGCTCTCTCCGGACGCCCCAGAGCGTCGCGATGCTCTCCCCGGATGCCCCAGAGCGTCGCTATGCTCTCCCCGGACGCCCCAGAGCGTCGCGATGCTCTCCCCGAACGCCCCAGAGCGTCGCGATGCTCTCCCCGGACGCCCCAGAGCGTCGCGATGCTCTCCCCGGACGCCCAAGAGCGTCGCGATGCTCTCCCCGGACACCCCAGAGCGTCGCGATGCTCTCCCCAGCCGCCCCAGAGCGTCGCGATGCTCTCCCCAGCCGCCCCAGAGCGTCGCGATGCTCTCCCCGGACGCCCCAGAGCGTCGCGATGCTCTCCTCGGACGCCCCAGAGAGTCGCTATGCTCTCTCCGGACGCCCCAGAGCGTCGGGATGCTCTCCTCGGACGCCCCAGAGCGTCGCGATGCTCTCCCCGCACGCCCCAGAGCGTCGCTATGCTCTCCCCGGACGCCCCAGAGCGTCGCGATGCTCTCCCCATACGCCCCAGAGCATCGCGATGCGCTCCCCGGACGCCCCAGAGCGTCGCGATGCTCTCCTCGGACGCCCCAGTGCGTCGCGATGCTCTCCCCGGACGCCCCAGAGCGTCGCGATGCTTTACCCGGACGCCCCAGAGCGTCGCGATGCTCTCCTCGGACGCCCCAGAGAGTCGCTATGCTCTCTCAGGACGCCCCAGAGCGTCGGGATGCTCTCCTCGGACGCCCCAGAGCGTCATGATGCTCTCCCCGCACGCCCCAGAGCGTCGCTATGCTCTCCCCGGACGCCCCAGAGCGTCGCGATGCTCTCCCCATACGCCCCAGAGCATCGCGATGCGCTCCCCGGACGCCCCAGAGCGTCGCGATGCTCTCCCCGGACGCCCCAGTGCGTCGCGATGCTCTCCCCGGACGCCCCAGAGCGTCGCGATGCTTTACCCGGACGCCCCAGAGCGTCGCGATGCTCTCCCCAGCCGCCCCAGAGCATCGTGATGCTCTCCCCGGACGCCCCAGAGCGTCGCGATGCTCTCCCCGGACGCCCCAGAGCGTCGCGATGCTCTCCCCGGACGCCCCAGAGCGTCGCGATGCTCTCCCCGGATGCCCCAGAGCGTCACGATGCTCTCCCCTGACGCCCCAGAGCGTCGCTATGCTCTCCCCGGACGCCCCAGAGCATTGCGATGCTCTCCCGGGACGGCCCAGAGCGTCGTGATGCTCTCCCCGGACGCCCCAGAGCGTCGCGATGCTCTCCCCGGACGCCCCAGAGCGTCGCGATGCTCTCCCCGGACGCCCCAGAGCGTCGCGATGCTCTTCCCGGATGCCCCAGAGCGTCACGATGCTCTCCCTTGACGCCCCAGAGCGTCGCTATGCTCTCCCCGGACGCCCCAGAGCATTGCCATGCTCTCTCGGGACGGCCCAGAGCGTCGCGATGCTCTCCCCGGACGCCCCAGAGCGTCGCGATGCTCTCCCCGGACGCCCCAGAGCGTCGCTATGCTCTCCTCGGACGCCCTAGAGCGTCGCGATGCTCTACCCGGACGCCCCAGAGCGTCGCGATGCTCTCCCCAGCCGCCCCAGAGCGTCGTGATGCTCTCTCCGGACGCCCCAGAGCGTCGCGATGCTCTCCCCGGACGCCCCAGAGCGTCGCTATGCTCTCCTCGGACGCCCTAGAGCGTCGCGATGCTCTACCCGGACGCCCCAGAGCGTCGCGATGCTCTCCCCAGCCGACCCAGAGCGTCGTGATGCTCTCCCCGGACGCCCCAGAGCGTCGCGATGCTCTCCTCAGACGCCCCAGAGCGTCGCTATGCTCTCCTCGGACGCCCTAGAGCGTCGCGATGCTCTACCCGGACGCCCCAGAGCGTCGCGATGCTCTCCCCAGCCGACCCAGAGCGTCGTGATGCTCTCCCCGGACGCCCCAGAGCGTCGCGATGCTCTCCCCGGACGCCCCAGAGCGTCGCTATGCTCTCCCCGGACGCCCCAGAGCGTCGCGATGCTCTCCCCGAACGCCCCAGAGCGTCGCGATGCTCTCTCCGGACGCCCCAGAGCGTCGCGATGCTCTCCCCGGACGCCCCAGAGCGTCGCGATGCTCTCCTCGGACGCCCCAGAGCGTCGCTATGCCCTCCCTGGACGCCCCAGAGCGTCGCGATGCTCTCCCTGGACGCCCCAGAGCATCGCGATGCTCTCCCCGGACGCCCAAGAGCGTCTCGATGCTCTCCCCGGACGCCCCAGAGCGTCGCGATGCTCTCCCCGGACGCCCCAGAGCGTCGCGATGCTCTCCCCGGACGCCCCAGAGTGTCGCGATGCTCTGCCCGGACGCCCCAGAGCGTCGCGATGCTCTCCCTGGACGCCCCAGAGCGTCGCGATGCTCTCCCCGGACGCCCCAGAGCGTCGCGATGCTCTCCCTGGACGCCCCAGAGCGTCGCGATGCTCTCCTCGGACGCCCCAGAGCGTCGCGATGCTCTCCCCGGACGCCCCTGAGCGTCGCGATGCTCTCCTCGGACGCCCCAGAGCGTCGCTATGCTCTCCCCGGACGCCCCAGAGCGTTGTGATGCTCTCCCCGGACGCCCCAGAGCATCGCGATGCTCTCCCCGGACGCCCCAGAGCGTGGCAGAGCTCTCCCCGGACGCCCTAGAGCGTCGCGATGCTCTCCCCGGACGCCCCAGAGCGTCGCGATGCTCTACCCGGGCGCCCCAGAGCGTCGCAGAGCTCTCCCCGGACGCCCCAGAGCGTCGCGATGCTCTCCCCGGACGCCCCAGAGCGTCGCGATGCTCTCCCCGGACGCCCCAAAGCATCGCGATACTCTCCCCGGACACCCCAGAGCGTCGCTATGCTCTCCCCGGACGCCCCGGAGCGTCGCGATGCTCTCCCCGGACGCCCCAGAGCATTGCGATGCTCTCCCCGGACGCCCCAGAGCGTCGCGATGCTCTCTCCGGACGCCCCAGAGCGTCGCGATGCTCTCCCCGGATGCCCCAGAGCGTCGCTATGCTCTCCCCGGACGCCCCAGAGCGTCGCGATGCTCTCCCCGAACGCCCCAGAGCGTCGCGATGCTCTCCCCGGACGCCCCAGAGCGTCGCGATGCTCTCCCCGGACGCCCAAGAGCGTCGCGATGCTCTCCCCGGACACCCCAGAGCGTCGCGATGCTCTCCCCAGCCGCCCCAGAGCGTCGCGATGCTCTCCCCAGCCGCCCCAGAGCGTCGCGATGCTCTCCCCGGACGCCCCAGAGCGTCGCGATGCTCTCCTCGGACGCCCCAGAGAGTCGCTATGCTCTCTCCGGACGCCCCAGAGCGTCGGGATGCTCTCCTCGGACGCCCCAGAGCGTCGCGATGCTCTCCCCGCACGCCCCAGAGCGTCGCTATGCTCTCCCCGGACGCCCCAGAGCGTCGCGATGCTCTCCCCATACGCCCCAGAGCATCGCGATGCGCTCCCCGGACGCCCCAGAGCGTCGCGATGCTCTCCTCGGACGCCCCAGTGCGTCGCGATGCTCTCCCCGGACGCCCCAGAGCGTCGCGATGCTTTACCCGGACGCCCCAGAGCGTCGCGATGCTCTCCTCGGACGCCCCAGAGAGTCGCTATGCTCTCTCCGGACGCCCCAGAGCGTCGGGATGCTCTCCTCGGACGCCCCAGAGCGTCATGATGCTCTCCCCGCACGCCCCAGAGCGTCGCTATGCTCTCCCCGGACGCCCCAGAGCGTCGCGATGCTCTCCCCATACGCCCCAGAGCATCGCGATGCGCTCCCCGGACGCCCCAGAGCGTCGCGATGCTCTCCCCGGACGCCCCAGTGCGTCGCGATGCTCTCCCCGGACGCCCCAGAGCGTCGCGATGCTTTACCCGGACGCCCCAGAGCGTCGCGATGCTCTCCCCAGCCGCCCCAGAGCATCGTGATGCTCTCCCCGGACGCCCCAGAGCGTCGCGATGCTCTCCCCGGACGCCCCAGAGCGTCGCGATGCTCTCCCCGGACGCCCCAGAGCGTCGCGATGCTCTCCCCGGATGCCCCAGAGCGTCACGATGCTCTCCCCTGACGCCCCAGAGCGTCGCTATGCTCTCCCCGGACGCCCCAGAGCATTGCGATGCTCTCCCGGGACGGCCCAGAGCGTCGTGATGCTCTCCCCGGACGCCCCAGAGCGTCGCGATGCTCTCCCCGGACGCCCCAGAGCGTCGCGATGCTCTCCCCGGACGCCCCAGAGCGTCGCGATGCTCTTCCCGGATGCCCCAGAGCGTCACGATGCTCTCCCTTGACGCCCCAGAGCGTCGCTATGCTCTCCCCGGACGCCCCAGAGCATTGCCATGCTCTCTCGGGACGGCCCAGAGCGTCGCGATGCTCTCCCCGGACGCCCCAGAGCGTCGCGATGCTCTCCCCGGACGCCCCAGAGCGTCGCTATGCTCTCCTCGGACGCCCTAGAGCGTCCCGATGCTCTACCCGGACGCCCCAGAGCGTCGCGATGCTCTCCCCAGCCGCCCCAGAGCGTCGTGATGCTCTCTCCGGACGCCCCAGAGCGTCGCGATGCTCTCCCCGGACGCCCCAGAGCGTCGCTATGCTCTCCTCGGACGCCCTAGAGCGTCGCGATGCTCTACCCGGACGCCCCAGAGCGTCGCGATGCTCTCCCCAGCCGACCCAGAGCGTCGTGATGCTCTCCCCGGACGCCCCAGAGCGTCGCGATGCTCTCCTCAGACGCCCCAGAGCGTCGCTATGCTCTCCTCGGACGCCCTAGAGCGTCGCGATGCTCTACCCGGACGCCCCAGAGCGTCGCGATGCTCTCCCCAGCCGACCCAGAGCGTCGTGATGCTCTCCCCGGACGCCCCAGAGCGTCGCGATGCTCTCCCCGGACGCCCCAGAGCGTCGCTATGCTCTCCTCGGACGCCCTAGAGCGTCGCGATGCTCTACCCGGACGCCCCAGAGCGTCGCGATGCTCTCCCCAGCCGCCCCAGAGCGACGTGATGCTCTCCCCGGACGCCCCAGAGCGTCGCGATGCTCTCCCCGGACGCCCCAGAGCGTCGCGATGCTCTCCCCGGACGCCCCAGAGCATCGCGATGCTCTCCCCGCACGCCCCAGAGCGTCGCTATGCTTTCCCCGGACGCCCAAGAGCGTCGCGATGCTCTCCCCGGACGCCCTAGAGCATCGCGATGCTCTCCCCGGACGCCCCAGAGCGTCGCGATGCTCTCCTCGGACGCCCCAGAGCGTCGCGATGCTCTCCCCTGACGCCTCAGAGCGTCGCGATGCTCTACCCGGACGCCCCAGAACGTTGCGATGCTCTCCCCAACCGCCCCAGAGCGTCGCGATGCTCTCCCCGGACGCCCAAGAGCGTCGTGATGCTCTCCCCCGAAGCCCCAGAGCGTCGCGATGCTCTCCCCGGACGCCCCAGAGCATCGCGATGCTCTCCCCGGACGCCCCAGAGCGTCGCTATGCTCTCCCCGGACGCCCCACAACGTCGCTATGCTCTCCCCGGACGCCCCAGAGCGTCGCGATGCTCTCCCCGGACGCCCTAGAGCGTCGCGATGCTCTACCCGGACGCCCCAGAGCGTCGCGATGCTCTCCCCAGCCGCCCCAGAGGGTCGCGATGCTCTCCCCGGACGCCCCAGAGCGTTGCGATGCTCTCCCCGGACGCCCCAGAGCGTCGCGATGCTCTCCCCGGACGCCCCAGAGCGTCGCGATGCTCTCCCCGGACGCCCCAGAGCATCGCGATGCTCTCCCCGGACGCCCTAGAGCGTCGCGATGCTCCCCCCGGACACCCCAGAGCGTCGCGATGCTCTCCCCGGACGCCCCAGAGCGTCGCGATGCTCTCCTCGGACGCCCCAGAGAGTCGCTATGCTCTCTCCGGACGCCCCAGAGCGTCGGGATGCTCTCCTCGGACGCCCCAGAGCGTCACGATGCTCTCCCCGCACGCCCCAGAGCGTCGCTATGCTCTCCCCGGACGCCCCAGAGCGTCGCGATGCTCTCCCCATACGCCCCAGAGCATCGCGATGCGCTCCCCGGACGCCCCAGAGCGTCGCGATGCTCTCCCCGGACGCCCCAGTGCGTCGCGATGCTCTCCCCGGACGCGCCAGAGCGTCGCGATGCTCTCCCCGGACGCCCCAGAGCGTCGCGATGCTCTCCCCGGACGCCCCAGAGCGTCGCGATGCTCTCCCCGGACGCCCTAGAGCGTCGCGATGCTCTCCCCGGACGCCCCAGAGCATCGCGATGCTCTCCCCGGACGCCCCAGAGCATCGCGATGCTCTCCCCGGACGCCCCAGAGCGTCGCGATGCTCTCCTCGGACGCCCCAAAGCGTCGCGATGCTCTCCCCGGACGCCCCAGAGCGTCGCAATGCTCTCCCCGGACGCCCCAGAGCGTCGCGATGCTCTCCCCGGACGCCCCAGAGCGTCGCCATGCTCTCCCCGGACGCCCCAGAGCGTCGCGATGCTCTCCCCGGACGCCCCTGAGCGTCGCGATGCTCTCCCCGGACGCCCCAGAGCATCGCGATGCTCTCCCCGGACGCGCCAAAGCGTCGCGATGCTCTCCCCGAACGCCCCCGAGCGTCGCGATGCTCTCCCCGGACGCCCCAGAGCGTCGCAATGCTCACCCCGGACGCCCCAGAGCATCGCGATGCTCTCCCTGGACGCCCCAGAGCGTCGCGATGCTCTCCCAAGCCGCCTTAGAGCGTCGTGATGCTCTTCCCGGACGCCCCAGAGCGTCGCGATGCTCTCCCAAGCCGCCCCAGAGCGTCGCGATGCTCTCCCCGGACGCCCCAGAGCGTCGCGATGCTCTCCCCGGACGCCCCAGAGCGTCGCGATGCTCTCCTCGGACGCCCCAAAGCGTCGCGATGCTCTCCCCGGACGCCCCAGAGCGTCGCAATGCTCTCCCCGGACGCCCCAGAGCGTCGCGACGCTCTCTCCGGACGCCCCAGAGCGTCGCGATGCTCTACCCGGACGCCCCAGAGCGTCGCGATGCTCTCCCCGGACGCCCCAGAGCGTCGCGATGCTCTTTTCGGACGCCCCAGAGCGTCGCGATGCTCTCCCCGGACGCCCCAGAGCGTCGCGATGCTCTCCCCGGACGCCCCAGAGCATCGCGATGCTCTCCCCGGACGCCCTAGGGCGTCGCGATGCTCTCCCCGGACGCCCCAGAGCGTCGCGATGCTCTCCCCGGACGCCCCAGAGCGTCGCGATGCTCTCCCCGGACGCCCCAGAGCATCGCGATGCTCTCCCCAGACGCTCCGGAGCATCGCAATGCTCTCCCTGGACGCCCCTGAGCGTCGCGATGCTCTCCCCGGACGCCCCAGAGCGTCGCGATGCTCTACCCGGACGCACCAGAGCGCCGCGATGCTCTCCCCAGCCGCCCCAGAGCGTCGTGGTGCTCTCCTCGGACGCCCCAGAGCGTCGCGATGCTCTCCCCGGACGCCCCAGAGCGTCGCTATGCTCTCCCCAGACGCCCCAGAGCGTCGCGATGCTCTCCTCGGACGCCCCAGAGCATTGCGATGCTCTCCGCGGACGCCCCAGAGCGTCGCGATGCTCTCCCCGGACGCCCCAGAGCGTCGCGATGCTCTCCCCGGACACCCCAGAGCGTCACAATGCTCTACCCGGACGCCCCAGAGCGTCGCGATGCTCTCCCCAGCCGCCCTAGAGCGTCGCGATGCTCTCCCCGGACGCCCTAGAGCGTCGCGATGCTCTCCTCGGACGCCCCAGAGCGTCGCGATGCTCTCCCCGGACGCCCCTGAGCGTCGCGATGCTCTCCGCGGATGCCCCAGAGCGTCGCGATGCTCTCCCTGGACGCCCCAGAGATGCTCTCCCCGGACGCCCCAGAGCGTCGCGATGCTCTCCCCGGACGCCCCAGAGCGTCGCGATGCTCTCCCCGGACGCCCCAGAGCGTCGCCATGCTCTCCCCGGACGCCCCAGAGCGTCGCGATGCTCTCCCCGGACGCCCCTGAGCGTCGCGATGCTCTCCCCGGACGCCCCAGAGCGTTGCGATGCTCTACCCGGACGCCCCAGAGCGTCGCGATGCTCTCCCCTGCTGCCCCAGAGCATCGCGATGCTCTCCCCGGACGCCCCAGAGCGTCGCGATGCTCTCCCCGGACGCCCCAAAGCGTCGCGATGCTCTCCCCGAACGCCCCAGAGCGTCGCGATGCTCTCCCCGGACGCCCCAGAGCGTCGCGATGCTCTCCCCGGACTAGGGCCTACACCAAGTGAAATGTTACACTACACAAAGTAATGTAACTATCTTCAATATCTTGAGGTGTACCCTTTTGGCAAGCTTCGAAATCACTTGAGGCTTGACACCAAGGCTCGGGCTCTTCATCACAAACTCATCCTTGAGTTCTTGATGGGTCTGCTGCACACACCTGCGACACGCCGAACGTTCGACACAGGACAAAATAGAAACCGCTCACGACAAAATGGAAACCGCGCGGGAGACACAAACGACCGCTTAACACGCGTCTAGCGATAACTCGCTATTGACTCGACACACACACTCGACATCATGACTCAACATTCACACACAATTATAAGCATGAAATATATATTATCCCATGCTCTCATACCATTCCATACACACACACATTCACGCACACGGACAACAAGCCGAGTGCAAACCGTAGGGTTGCACCAACAAACTCCCCCTCGGATTGTTGGCCTTAGGATATGTTGCTCTGGTTATAGTCACAATAGGCTTGAATGTGCCTAAAACGAAAGATAGAGTGCACAGACGGATTTCTGCACAGCAGATTCAAACGTTGATAGCCTTCTGCTCACAGCTGCAAAGGACTTGCTATAAATTGGATCTGGAGCGTCTTGATGTCGTCTAGAATTAGCAATTTAGATTGCACGATTTGATAAAGAATTGACGACACAGCGTCGGTTTGAACGAACGGTACTATGGCAGCCACTATAGTCTTAGAACACAAGATAGGAAGAGTTACGAGTTGGGAATGACTCCCAGCTCCTACAAACCCCAAGAGCCGAGGTACAGTGATGTGGAACAGTGCCACACTGTCCCCAACCACGAAGGGTCTCGAAACTACCCTTCACTAGGGCCTACACCAAGTGAAATGTTACACTACACAAAGTAATGTAACTATCTTCAATATCTTGAGGTGTACCCTTTTGGCGAGCTTCGAAATCACTTGAGGCTTGACACCAAGGCTCGGGCTCTTCATCACAAACTCATCCTTGAGTTCTTGATGGGTCTGCTGCACACACCTGCGACACGCCGAACGTTCGACACAGGACAAAATAGAAACCGCGCACGACAAAATAGAAACCGCGCGCGAGACACAAACGACCGCGTAACACGCGTCTAGCGATAACTCGCTATTGACTCGACACACACACTCGACATCATGACTCAACATTCACACACAATTATAAGCATGAAATATATATTATCCCATGCCCTCATACGATTCCATACACACACACATTCACGCACACGGACAACAAGCCGAGTGCAAACCGTAGGGTTGCACCAACAAACTCCCCCTCGGATTGTTGGCCTTAGGATATGTTGCTCTCTCAGTTCAGAGCCATCCCAGCCAGCTTGCAACACTTCCAATGCTGCTGCTCCACTAGCCTCTTGGTCATCATGTCAGCCGGCTGCCCCGTGGTCTTCACGTAGCGCAACTCAACTTCACCCGCGGTTACCATGCTCCTCGTCCAATGCCACTTCACCCTCATGTGCTTCGTGAGTCCATGCAACACAGGGTTCTTAGCAAGAGCAATGGCACCCTGGCTGTCACAGTACAGTGGGGTAGGTCCTTGCTGCTCCTCCCCCAATTCAGCCAACAAACGCCGCTGCCACACAATCTCCCGTACGGCACGGAAGAGTGCCATGTACTCGGACTCCACCGAGCTCAAAGCTTGGTCAACCTGCTTCGTGCTCTCCCAAGCAGTTGGGCCTCCACCAACACAGCATATGAAGCCTCCCACACTTGTCATGTCCTCTGGTTCTGATGCATATGAAGCATCCGAGTAGGCGGTGAGGAACAAACGCCCGGGTTCAACACCATCCGCGCCCTTTTGGCGCCTTTGTGCCGCCGCCGAGTATTGCAGCCCAACGGT